AGGACACACATTTGCTGCTGTTATTCACACTGACACATGGCGCTGGCCTTCCACTCTGCAGGTCGTGCAAAGCACTGCCAAGTAGTGAGCAACGTCTGGGCTACCATACACGTACAACCCCAGATCATGACAGCTTGTGTGTTTAATTCTAGCCCTTACTGTCCTGATGTGGGTCTTTAAGGTATGTCAACTTATTTGTCGGTTCCTTTAAAGGGACAAATGAATTAAAAGAGTAAAACCTAGTGATTCGAAGATAACACTAGGGAACTGGAACCTCTCATTCAGTCCCGGCTCCAGGAGATTCCTTTTGCAACTCTGGGCAAGTTGCTTCACTTCTCATCCTTGATTTCCTTTTTCCAGAAAAGACAAATGGCACTTGCTATAAGAAGAACATGTTTGCAGATGCAAAGCGCTTCCTACGCTTTACATAGCACTAAAAACTACTCTCAGACAGACTGAATTCCCAAACCAATCATTTTTATTGCAGTTGCTATGATTTCTAGGTCAACCAGAATATAGAGGTATTGACTGAACAGGACAGGAATTCCAGGAAGAGGTCCAGCTGCTTTTTATCACCTTTTGTTCCCAAATTAAAGGAACAAATTTGCAATTAACAAGTTGCCCATCACTGTATTTGTTTAAAATACAGGAATCTCCAAATTAGCGGAGTATGAGGAAGGACGTGTGTCCTAGATGACATTCCAAGGTCTTCAGAAAGGCTAAACAGTTTGCTATATACAGGTCTTCAAACCTGGAAGATGTGAATCCAAAGTTTGCCCTTAGCCAAGATCCTCCCTTAGCAGCAGCAAGTTGTATTTGCACCAATTGATCAGGTATAACTTGGAGGAAAGGGTTTTGTTTCATCACTTCTATGTAAAGAAAAACCTTTGCATATATATGTGCATGCATGTCTGTATGTCTATGTATGTACCTACACACGTACGAGTAATTTAGAGAGCAAAAACTAAGAGATTAGGTATGCAACCCAAGAATTTTTCCCCCTCACCTATTTGTATATTTGCATAGTTAAATCATATCAAGGCATCAATACTGCAGTCACATTTTTCACTCTTCTGCAGTGCAGGCAACTTCTCTTGTCACTCCCTACACACTTCTCTGTCTTGGACCAAACAGCACCAGTGTTTTAAAAATTAAACAGAACAACAGAAACCCTGCATTGTTGGTGAAATGCCTATCTCACATGATGGAATACAGAGACAAATAGGTGGTAACTTTTAAACTCCATCTCAACAAGCCATAATCGTGGCAAGCTGAGAAACACAAGCGGTACAAACACAACCTAACACTCATAGGTTCAACACTTAAATTACAATTAACACAAATCTCTATTACCTTTGCATTTGAGAAATTCACCAGGCACAGTAACAGGCACATATCTTCAACTTTCCTTTTCCAAGTAGGAAAACCCCCAGGAAAAGGAAATAAACTGTATTTCATATTCGTAAGAAAGCTAGCATGTTACCCACAACATTTTTTTCCCCCATCAAAATTATGCCACCCATCATCCCCTTTTCCTATTGCACATTCTCTTTGTGAAGAACAACATTTACAGTACAAGGCTGAAATCAACATTGCATATTGTAAGTCAGCAGTTGAAGGTGTACCATGTAGACAGTAACTGAAACAAGACCCCATTAATTAGATCAGAGAAATAATGCAGACATAGTCATGCATCATAATCGCAGGTTGGTCTTTAAACACCCAAAGAGTTTCATCCTGTTTAGAATTCAAGACTTTCTAGGTAACAGATGCACTCACCCTGTGCTGAAGAGTGTACAAAAAGGGCAACGTCCAGATGGTCACACACTGGAATCTCCCTAGAGAAAGCTGGAAACGGAAGAGGCTTGTACGTAACTTGGAGCGTCATCGTTAAGAAAGAATACCAGCAAGAGACTTCAGTTGTGCACTGCAAAGAATTACTAAGCAGAGGAAAAAAAGGTTCCATTGAAGAAACTCTGTTCAAAGTAATGCAAATACTCTGGGACCCCCTTGCAACAACGGTACACCACAGGAGTTAGCCGGGATTCAAGAGTATATGTGGGTGCAGACTGTTGCCCCATGGGTCACTTTAAACAGACAGTCCCTAGAAAACTTTGGATATCTGGGTCAGGAACATACAGAAAAAAGGATAAAGGGCATTTCAACGATGAGAGAAAAAGATAAATAATTTAAAGTGTTGAGTAAAGCACCAGGTATCTTTTCCTTTCAATTTAGAGAATATACAGTGGCCTTGTTTTCACAAAATGCTACATACTCCTTGCTGGAAAGCAGAGGAAACCGATTTCTATGTACACAGTAAGAACTCTACAGAGATGGCCCGCGAGTTCTGCGGAGAAAGGGGTGTTACAGTCAAGGCTTCAGGTATTCCACAGCAGGCGGTGTCTACATTTGTGTAGCAAGATCCTGGATTTCACAGTACGCAAGGCTGGCAAACTGGAAATTCTCTGGCAGCTTCATGTAGTTTTAAAAAATAAGTGCAGTAGGCCTCCATTTTATTAACTGTGATAAAAAGCATATATGCAAAAATATTTTTATATCGATAGCACATTACTGCATTATAAAAGCTGCCCAAGTGAAGCTGAAGATTCTGGCAGCTGGTGCTTTTGGCACTTGGGAGATGTGGAAAGCAGCATAGAGATCTGTGAAATACAGCAGTGACTGATGTTTCTGCTACAGTGATCGGCATTAATATAGTTAGCAGTGTTCATATTTAAACTTCTCTATGAAGTTTCTGAGTCAATATCCCACTAAGAGGAGATATTCAGATCTCTTAAAGCTACTAGTTTAGGCTGTGTGCAGACTCAGGAAGACTTCCCTATTAGTTTACACTTTTCGCATGTTTCAACGTCCTCTTTCAATCACAAAGGCTGGAAACTCTTTTTTCCTCCTCTTTTAAAGAGCCTGGATTTAGAAGCGCAATTCTGTCACAGGAGTTGGAAACTGTAGTCACAAATCTGCAGAATATGCTGGGCCCTGCTTATACTAGAAGTCTCCTCCAAGTCCCAGATTGAAACAGGATATAAACTGTTTTGAGATGGCCAAACGGTTTCATTTAAGTTCGCAAGACATGCATTAGCAATGGGAGGAGAGTCCTTTGGACATTTCCACTTGGGAATCCTGTTTTCAGTAAAATTCTGTGATGCACAAACACAAAAGCTCAGCTGCCTACATTCACAATTATTAAAATGACACGAGTTGAGCGAACCTTCTCCCTAAAGCGTTAAGTGATGGGTTTGCTTATGCAGCCTGCATAAAACTGCAAGTGCCATATAATTATATCTAGAGATATAGATGAGGGTATATCTATAGATATTTATCTCTTGTGCAGAATGTCCTCCTTCCGTGCTAGAAATTAAATGCTAGCACATGCCTCCATATTTGAGCTTGCACCTGGTGACAGCTATGTACCATAAAGGGAGTACAGTACCTGGACAATGGAAGGCAAGAAAAGGAAGACAAGTTGCTGCTGACGGTTGCGATGGTCAGCAGCAGGCAGTATTCTAGCAGGTGCCTGGAAAACCCATGAAGACCACTTAGCATGCATTGTGTATTCATAAATACTTCTTGCAGGCACTGTGTGTGAAGGCACAGCCAAAAAAGACAACGGCAAAGACAAGCTGAAATACAAAGGCATGAATTCAACTGCACCTTAGACAAAAATTGTGACTATGCCTCAAAAAGCAGAAAACTGATACAACCTGACATTAAAGGCTGAGATGCAATGTTTTCCTTTAAGCCCACAAAGGCTAAGAACACAGTGGTGCAAGTCCGCTCTGCTTAAGCGGTTCTTGGATTTTAAAGAGCACCACAGTCAGGCTACGTCTCTAGACTTGCTTGTCACAGGCTATTAAATAGAAGCAGATGAACACAGCAGGTTGCTATCAGCATGTTTCAGGGCTAGCAAATGCTTTCCACTACAGTTCAGGCTGTTGTAAAAAAGAAGCCCGTGCATTCCCTGTTAGGATGTTTGTCTGCTATGAAAAGCTGTCATGAGCATATACATTCACAGCCCCACAGAGTTCTCAGATGGGTTCGTTTCAAGTGATGCCACCTTACAACCACAGGCATTAGAGGAAAAATGTCGCCTGCCTTCACAGTGGCCATGGAGACTGTCTAGTCCAAGCTCCATAGGAGCACTGAGCATAACGTTTTGGCACCTGAATAAGATGAATTCCGCCATGGCCAAGTCATACAAGCTCCAGAAGCCAAAGAAATGGGCTTTGGCTTCTATTTTGTACATGGCAAGGTACCTAAGGGCTCTGAAGACAAGGCTAAACATTATGCCTGAAGTCCAATTAAACTACCATTTCAGATATCAGAATCAATCTGAATAAAAAGCTATGGTTTATAAGCAGCACAGCACATCTAAGGCACATGTATGCATGCAAGCCACCATCACTGTATTAAGACTGCTGATTTGTCCTTAAGAAGCAATGGCTGCTAGTACAGAACAAACATACAGGCTTTTTTCAGCACTAATCCTCCTCCCCAATACTGAAAATACTATATACTGCTGACAGCATAATGTGCAACATATATAGCTTGATTGGAACGCATGGGGCAGAACTTTAAAAAATGTACAGGATTCCGTTTAGAACTCCAAAGTTCAACAAATGCCCTATTTTAGGGTGAAAACAATTATAAATCTGATAATGATGCACAGCATCCATGAGTGATTTTTCCTTAATTTTGAAATAGTGTCATTAACTACGACATATATTGCAGGTTTACATTTCTAAAGAGAAATAACAGAATTGAATAGTTTTTTTTCCTATCACAAGTGATAACCAGTGTTTGATATCTTCTATTTTTCTTCCAAGAAATATCAGTCTATCAACAGTTTTAAAATAAAATGTTTTCTGTAACAATAGAACTTTAAATAAAAATATGGTTTCAATTCAGATACTTTTGAGAAGACATGGATACTTTTCCAAGATCTTCTGACAAAGTAATTCTTAAAACAGAGACCAGATGAGGCCTTAAAAAGACAATATAGTATATTTCAGACAAGATTGCACCTCAGTTTTTCAAATAATATCATAATTGCAACATTACTTCATCATTTCTTCTTTTAACATGCTGACAATTTCCAGCTAGCCCACGTGTGAAGATTTTTTTTTTTGTATTCTAGCTTAAAGAAATAGAAGTCAGTAATTTATTCAGCACATACTGTATATGTCTTTTCAACTCCAATTGACTAGATCATTAATAAGTTAAAAAAAAAAAAAAAATCCTCTCTGACCATAATCATTATCCTCATGAGGGATAAGTGATTCTTCAGAGCTTAAGTGTTGCTAGTTCTATTAAAAAATATACCATGGTATGATTTCTTAATGTGTTGCCACTTTCGCAATTGGACCCTATGCAGTTATGCCTTCAAACTCTTCCGTCTGTTCCACAAGGTGGTTCTGTGAGCTTTAGGACCTCTGACTGAAGACAAACTGATATAAAACCCCCAAACGGAGTTGTCTTCTGTTTAATCCGCCTCCCCCATTGTATGTCAGGGGTCTGGTAGATCCGATGTATCCACTATGACTTTAATAAAAATAGTATCATCTTTAATATACGTTCCATTCTCTAGAACAGTTTGAGCCACAAAGACTGGGCAGCCAGATGCAATGTTCATTTCTCCAGTTGGCTTCTTGAAACTGCTGCTGTTTGGATCTGGCTTGAAAGCATCTCCTAAGTGGCGTCGAGACGGTCCCTGATCCATTAGCATGAGAGTCACTTTCTGTTTAAATGGCCAAGGAAGCAACGCATCATATTCTCCACGCATTATGACAAAAAACAGTGACAAGTGCGTCCCCTTTCCCATACCATCTCCATTAAGGTAAACTCTGGCACACATCTTGTAGCCAAAGTATCCAGTATAAAAGGGTTGGCTGTACAAGGACAGAGTCTTCCCCATGACTGCCTCTTGCTTCCGACGTTTATAATCGCGAATTTTCCAAATTAATACTCCGTTGTAGCTGGCAGTTTCTAAAACCTGGAATCGGAGGTCCATGTCAGCCAGCCGAATATCATGAACGCTCAGCATCTGATCATGTCTGCTCAGCTGTGTCTCTAGCAGGCCTGTTAGAAAGGATGAGGGTGAGAAAAGTGTTTTTTTTCTAAAGACTGTAAAAGTCAATTGCCAGTGCTGCTATTGTATATGAAAACATTTTCCTCCCCAAGAAGCAAAGTGCATTTGGTCACCGATGAAGCCACTTCCACAGACAGTAGTTTGCCAGCCAGTATCTAGGTTAACTGGGATTTTTACAAACATGGGTGTTAACCACACATGCAAAAGAAATCAAATATTCAAATCATCTAACATAAATTTTGTCTGGTCACTAAGCAATAGAACTACAGAGGCTTCCATTTTTTGAGAGGAGACTTGGTAGCATTATCTGTAGATTGCTGCAAGCAGTGAAGACCTCGGAAGTGGTCACACATCCTACATAATCCCTCTGAAATTCAGAAGCACCACTGATCACTCAAAATATTCTTCTCAGACACTACTTGTCTCAGAAGTGTAGTGCTGTTACCTTGTCTAAAGTTCATCATAAAAGAATAGAAAAGTCAAGCTTAGCTCTGCATTATATGGTCACTTACTTAGTTTGGAGGGAGGGCTGTTTTTAATGGCCCCTTTCCCTCACATGAAAATGTTTCTCTTTGCACACTGGCAAAATTGGTCAACGTAAAATACTGAGAAGCAGATGAATTCACAAGGCAGGTTTGTTTTATATAGATCTATTTAAACATTAAGTTCTTTCTCCCAATCATTTAAACATTTACATATGATCTACACTATCTTGCTAAACTCCAGTTTTCACTTTATTCAGCAAGCACAACAACCTTATTCTCAAGCAGATCTCACAGTTTTCTTTGGATCAAATATTCCTCTGTAACAGATATCAGGACAGGTGGTTTCAGGTGGATAACATAGTGTTGATCCATTCAAGGGGGAGAAGAGTAGTAAAAGAAGACTTGTCAATATACCAAGACTATATTTAAAGAAGCTGCTGAAAGCTATTAGCTGTCAAAGATCAGTTGAGAAACTATTTATAATGAATTAACATTGTAATCAAGACAAGGGTCAAGAAAACAAAATGAAAGACAAGGAACAGCGTGGAAGCAATGCCACATCAAAGGGATTACGCAGTTTCCAATTCAAAAATCAGAACCAGCATTATTGATGCTTCCACATAAAAATCACAATGGAAGTGCCATTCAAAGGAGACAATTTTTCTCTTGACAGCGCTGCTGACTACTTTAGTCCATTGTGCTTACACTTACTTGTATTTCGAGCTCCTTGCCCTGCAGTTTTATCAACACTTTCCAGCTCAGTCACTCTGTTCTGGAGGGATTCTACACTGCTCTTCATGCTGTCAGCCTCCTCCCAGTTCTGTCGGAAGGGACGGATTTCTTTGTCCAGTTCTTTCAGTTTCTCTGCTTGACTGTCTATCACTCGCTTTATAAAACAGCAAGTTATGAGTTAAAATAAAAGACATAATTTATGCAAATTAAACAAGGATTATGTATCAATAAGATGCATTTCCAATATAAACAAGTTTCACTTATGTCAAATATTTTAATAACACAAACCTTGAAAATTTAGAGGAATAGCCCAAGTATTTATAAAACACTTATAAAAAATCTTCAGTGCTGCATAGGTATTAATATTAGAGCACTATCAGAACTATCAACACAATTATTTAAAAAAAAAAAAAAGAAATTGTTAGTGCACTCTTGTCTAAACATTTTTTTTAAAACCTTTCAATGCAAGAACAACATCCTGAATGTCTCTATATTGATATTTGGGCTGATACTTGTTGGGTTTTGTGTCAGAGTACTTAAGCAACAAACTAGGGGCACAACAACAACAACTTACCATGGTGTGAATCAAGTGGCTGCTCATGTGCATGTATTTAGCATTGGGTAACAGCAAAATAACTTACCCCTCCAGAAAAACATCAGTACTCTTGCACACACGGAGCAGGAGTACGTGTATGTGCAGATACAGTGGCATTATCAAGCTCCAAGTTCACATAAATGAGTTATCAAAGCCTAGGTTATTATGTGTCCACAACCACAGCAGAAGCCCTCAAAGAGTGTACGCAAATCTACCATTTCTGACCCCTTAAACACTTTTAAAATTCCCACCCTTACTTCCTAAATTGAATAAACCATGCATCCTTGAAGGTGCTTGCTGGTTGAGTCTTTTTAAGAAAACAAAGGAAAAAAAAAAAACCAAAACGCGTTGAGTTTTGGAAAGGCATGAAATATAATACTCAAGAAAAAAAAATACATAGAAAGGCTGGTATTCTCCAGAAGAGGGACATTGCAAGCACCTCAGTATATTACAGATATAAAGGAGAACATATTTCCCAGTCTATCTCAAATCCGATGCAAGGAATACATAGCACATTACGTTATCACAGCTAATTTGGACTAGCAGGAATTTTAGCCAGAACCCTATAATCAGTTGTGAAGTTCAAATGATAACACAAATATTTGAGACAAGAAACTACTTTTCCTACCACCTACAGTTAAATTCCAAATCTAACTTTACAGTTTATTATCATATAGTGCCAACATGTGTAAAAATGATTTTTCACTTCTTAAAAAAAAAAGTAGCAGTTGAGTACAAAACAAGAAAATAAAGCCATTTTGCATTTGCCTTCTGGTTAGCCATGTGGATTCAATGTTCCCCACTGATGGGGAAAACCCTTCTGCCTCATGCAACCTTCATTTCCCCTTTTAGGCATTTGCTTTTAATCATGTGGTTTCAGTTATACTGAAAGTCTGTAACAATTAATTAAAGGCTGTCAATTTGATAAGCCAGCTAGCAAAGTCATGTTTAGGAGTGTTTTATTTTGTTGTGTCTCAAAACCACTGAATAATCTAACATATGTCAAGATTAACTATTTATTTCTATGTTGGTGTTTTAAAACAAGCTTATATATCTCACTTGCAAAATTATGACTTTGTGAAGGAAAGTTGTGTACCGAATCATAAATGCAGGGCACGGTCCCATTAAATACATTAAGCAACTTGCCTGGATGTACTAATCATCAGCTACCAACACAGTCACACCCTTTCACTTGGACTGACGGTAATCAGAAAATAAAATAGGGAAGGGTTGTTAGCTATACATATAAAAGGAAACACACCATGGGATGGCCTGAATGAATGTTTTAAGAGCAGAGCCACAAGATTTGGCCATTAGTTCACAGTTAACATGCAAAAGTAAACTCAAGGTGTGCCCAAGTCTAACCTTTTTCCTCTACTCACACAAAACATGAACCCTCCAAGGAAAGAACAATTACATGGTCGTGGGTTTGTACAGTGCCTCATATAGAGATGTTCTAATTTCCAGTTGGGACCTCTTGGCACTAACACAGTATCAAACAAAATGAATAAATACATTTTTAAATGAATTGGGAAAGTGGTAAAGATGCAGAAGAATTGTAAGTTATTCTTCTTTTGGGAGAAGTTTATCAAAAGTTGTTACTAGGGTCCAACTTCTTTCCATCAACCTGTTTGCAACCTTCTACCTTTGTACAAGCACAACCAATTCTGGTTTTTACCTGCTTCTACTACACGTCGGCAAAGGTGCAGTATTTAATCCCCTGTACGTCTTCATGAGAGCTCAAGAGAGATAGAATAATCAGAAATAGACTTGTACTCCGTTTTTAAAAAGCAGTGCGATCTCTATCTTTTTACCCTACAGGGAGTCAACCTCCCTCATGCTGGGAGGTACTGATGTACTAAATCTGAATTTAATGCAGCAGTGGAGAATTTCACTCTCTCTAATTATTCCATTAGAAAGCACACAGATGTCTCACACTGTACTCATAAATTTTCAAGTAGGTATCAATTTTCTGTATGCACTTTTTATTCCAGCAGCTGACCTCTCCAGATCATTAATCCAGAGTTATACGCCTGGCAAAATACTGAGGGCTCTTCTTGATATTAATTTTTTGTCTAGGTTTTGTTTGGTATTTCTGATAAACAATTTCCAGAATTTCAGCACTACTATTACTAAAAGAATTTAGAAAATGTCATGATGAACTGAAGAAAGCTATATTCACAGTTGTCTCTCTTTCAGATGCTCCTAATGGACCTTTCCATTGCAACTGGTACAGCAAAACCAAAAAGCTAAAGAACACACTAGAAAAGGAACCAGATACTACTTGACTGGGAAAACAAATCATACATCCTCCTCCTTTGAAGGAACGTACTACCAATCAAATAATTTTAATAATTTCAATAAGGTCATTGTTTCTTTTGTCTTAAGTACCTCATGTCCACACTCAGCTTAAGACTTGGCTTACTAATATGCTTCCATATACTCATAAGAAAGACTGGATACTGGATGTGGAAGTTCCTTTCCACAAGACAGCAGTTGAAAAGGTATCACATACTCTCTTGGCAAAAA